CTCACAAATGCGTACGCACAGTGCGTACTCGAAATGCACTCTATATATATACTTGTGCTAGATTGATTTAAGTTTAACTTCAATTTATTTATTGTTTCACACACAACCATTGAGCTTGAGTATTTTCACATATTATATAATTTAGGTTGTGGGTGTGATTGAGTGAGCTTACACTTAGTTTTCATCTTGTATTGGAGAACAAACCCTTGTACTTGAGCTTTATTGTGAGATCACATTGTAATACACAAGGACACTGAGAGGAGTGTGTGGTGAGAGACGGGGTCAATTCTAAGAGGAGTGGCATCAGTAATAAAGCCTAGAGAGAGGTGGTAAATCCGAGCACTTGAGGAAGGTGACACGTGAGAGGTCAACACTTAAATAGTGTATTGTGTGATTACATTTGTGAGAGTTGTGAAAGTTTTCAGTAAGCTAGAAAACCGATTGTATGAGTTGTAACGTTTTCAGTAAACGTTGAAAACCGGTTATAATAGTGGAGATTCTCCTCGTGGGTGAGGAGCGGAGATGTAGGTCGAGGGTGACCGAACTCCATGATCACATTGTGTGTTTGAGTTTGCCTTGGCATATTATTTGTGCTCATTGTTTATTATATTCTCTATATCGCTATTGTCTCATGTTTATATCAGCCTTAGTTTAATTGCATATCATTGCTCATATATCTTATTGTATAATTGCTAGGATATTGTTAATAAATTTTAATTTGGCATTAATATCAGATTAGATTAGCATATATCCTATTCACCCCCCTCTAGGGTAATTTTATTTGGTATCAGAGCTTGTTGCTCTTGATTTGTGGCTTAATCGCCTAGAGTCAAAGATCTAAGCTTTCGTATCTTGCTAATCTAGTTTTGAGATTTATTGTATCTTGCTTGCATAAATATATCATGGATACGCATGGTGCACCTAGTCTAGGTTATGTTATTAATGTTGCTCCTAAATTAGATGATTTCCCCTATGCTCAATGGTGTGTTAGATTTAAACTCTTTGTTAGATCTAGACACTTCGATTTATGGAAAATTATCGATTGTTCTTATATTGTGCTCACGTTGAAGAAATCCAAGTGGAGCAAACATTATAAAAAAAATATTTACAATGAACAAGCTCCTGTTAGAATTTTTGCTTAATGCTTTTGACTCCTCCATATCTAACAAGCTTGATTCTTTAGATATTGCTTGCACATTATGAAAATTTATAGAACCACATCAAGGAAACTTTGAGGAGATTCAACGCGCTTTGGCAGAATCAACTTCAACTAAGGAGGGAGCATCATCATCACGCAGTCAGCCACTAGGCGATAGCCCTAGTGTGGTATGCAATACATAATGCGAAAGTGAATTATCTATTAGCGAACTCACATGTGCATATGATAGGTTAATGCATGCCTGCACAAAGTTACATAAAAAATTTATTAACTTGAAAAGCAAGCATGTAGAGTTAAAATCCGATCATGAATTGCTAGCATCTAAGTTTGATTTAATTTTTAAAGAGAATATGAGCCTAAAAGAAAATAATAAAAAATTAAAATTGGATCATGATTCTTTAATCTCAAATGTTGCTAGTATAACTAATGAGAAAAATAATACCATAAAAGAAGTAGAAACAATTAAAAATAAATATGATTTATTTAAAAAGGATCATACATGTTATACTTTTAATAACAATGCATTTATACAAATAAATGAGTTGAATCATGTTAAGAATCACAGATCATCTTTAGATTCAACATTAAAAACATGCATTACAAATAATAATAAGCTTATGGACTTGTGTGCAAAGTTTCATGTAAATTCTTCTAAGAAACCTACACACTATGCACACATGTATAACAAAATTTATAAGTGCTCTATTTACAGCCGTAAATGCCATCTTGCAAAATTTTGTTATAATGCACAAAAATCCATAAAGTCTAACAATGTTACTAATTGTGCATCCCATTAAGCTTCATCACAACATATACATACACATGCACACAAAGTATATCATAAGCATGCTCATGTGTATAAATGTGATTTTTATGGTAGAGTTGGCCATTTGACTAAATTTTGTTTTGATTTGAAAAGAGTTTCACATTTATAAAATAATTTTAAAAGACCATTTTTGTTTGAAAATGTTTCACATGTATAAGTTAATAGTCAACATAAACAAGTGCACCCATTCCATTACACTTATTACAATAGAAAAGGTCATTTGTGTGATTATTGCTATGACCGAACCCGTGCACAAAATGCGACCAAATGGGATCATAACCCTAGGGCTTTGGACTTTATTGATAGGGGTCATATCCCTAAACTCTTCGGTACCAAGAGTATTTGGGTACCTAAGCATGTTTGATTTCAAAACACATTTTAGCATTCATTTTCATTTCTTGTTTTGAAAATTTTGAAATAAAAAACAAAAATTTTAAATTAATACATTTGTTTTATTTTTATTGGCTTTGATTTTAATGAGAGGTTTATGTTTGGTCAACCCCCGGATTTATTGATCTTTCATTGGTATTCTTCCATATCATGTTTTACCGGGTGCAAAATGTTTCTATATTGGTTGAAACAAGCTCCAAGAGCTTGGCATGATTGTTTATCTAGTTTTTCTTGTCAAAAATGATATTATTGATATTCATTTGTTTTGTCATAAGTATAATTCTTTCTTACTTTGTGGATAAAATATATAAATGTTTTGACATTACTAGTTGCTTGATTACTTGTTCTTCAAAAACAATGATTTATAGATTAAGCATGTTTTAATTTTATTATGGTTTAGATTCATAATTTCATTTGATTGTTTTGATTTTTATTTGGACTTTCATGATTGTCATGATTTGTTTTCATTGAAAATATTTTTCATGATTCTCATGTTTTTCATTCTTTTGATTTCATAAATCTATATATTGCTTTTTAATTGTTTTTTTCAATCTATGCATTGAGACACTATTTTTATAATGACATATTAATATGTGTTCTCATGGTCTTTTTGAATGTGATTCTTTCATGATTTTTTATACTCACATTTTTGATGCCTTATATTTTTATATGCATTAAGACATTTTGATAGGGGGAGCTTTTTCCCTCCATTTGTTTTATTCTCCCATGCTTATTTGTAGGGGGAGCTTAACGCTCTCTTTCTCTCTTGTTGTTTTTCTCATTTTGATATCGACAAAAGGGAGAAACAAGTCAATTATGAGTATATCATTCTATTTGGTTTTATGCATGAGGATTATAACTTGAATATTCATTTGATATCATGCATATTTATATACTCTTTGTGTAGATTGTTTGTCATCATCAAAAAAGAGGAGATTGTTAGGTCTCATTGTAAAACCCCGAAATTTCATAATGAGTTCTATGTGAATAAATAGTAATAAACATATCTGTTGTGATGGATAACCATATATACATAAGATATATATTTTTATCAGTGTTTGAGAACCCACCAGGTGTTTGTAAGTGAGAGAAATCGAGTGGTTTAGTGGCCAGCAGGAAAAATACTTGAATCAGGCATTTTAGTGCTGATCGGTCGACCGACGCGGTCGACCGGTACGGTCGACCGATCAGCGGTCATATTGTTTTTCCAGGTTTTCTTTTCGGGTTTTAGTTTTGGGCTATTGGGTTTTGGGTCGGGTTGGGGAATTGGTATTTAAACCAACTCAACCTAGGAGAGTTTCTCCTCTCCTCAGACGTAAAAACCCTAACCCCTTTTTCTCTCCCCTCTCAAAACCCTAGCCGTCACTGGTGATCTTTGAGGAGTTTGGAGGAGTTCCAGGGGATTTCAGCAGATTGGATCTCAGGAGAATCATCTCCAGAGCGTTCGTCATCACCCAAGGCGAGTATCATCTCGCCCAATCCCTCACCCCTGTTTTCTATGTTTTTTTTTTTTTTTTGTTTTTTTTTGGATTTTTTTATGAGTTTTGAGAAGCCAAAATGGTATTTTTGTATAACAATGTTCTCTATGATAGGGTTAACAAGAATCAGAGGTTTCAGTATAATAAAAATCCACCAACGTTCTGGTTTATAAAGATCTCTAGATCTGAAATTTTACTAAACAAGAGTTAATTCATCTTTACAGTTATTAATACGTTTTTGATTTGTCTTCTCATGGATCTAGAATATTAAAGATGTGGATTTCAAGTTTGGGATTAGTGATTTATCTTCAGTATGATTTCTAAAACTTTAGAACTCCTATTATCGTAGAATGTTAAAAATTTTGTTTCAGGTTTCGAGCTGACAGAAACCCAGATTTGGGTTTCTGTCCGCTCGGCGGTCGACCGACGCGGTCGACCGCTGAGCTCGATTTGAGGTTTCGGTCGACCGCCCGTTATTTCGGTCGACCGCGTCGTCATTTCGGTCGACCGCCGATTATTTCGGTCGACCGTGACATTATTTCGGTCGACCGCCAGACTCGTATCAGAGATCGGTCGACCGACGCCTGTCTGTAGTATTTTCCTGGTTTTGGGTATTTTTGTACATTTCACTCATATTTGGGAGTTTGACTGGACTATCTGACATTTGTATTTAGTCCTACTATGTATCCAGGCATGATGGATGACCCGAGGGTACCAATTATGGATATATACACTGATATGATTATGAATTGATATAAGTAGTTTTCACTATATATCACAGCGATACTTTTCACAGTTTCTTAGTCCTCGTGTTGAGCATGCATTGCTATTTAATCCTCGTGCTGGATATGCATTCACATCCGGTCCACAAGTTGGACAACGGTCACATCCGGTCCATGCGTTGGACAACGGTCACATCCGGTCCATGTTTTGGATAACGGTTATATTCGGTTCATGAGTTATGAACGTCCTCGTGTTGGACTGTGATTTATGGAAGTCCTTGAGATTGGACTGTGAGTGATGAAAGTCCTTGTGTTGGGCTGTGATTTATAGAAGTCCTCGTGTTGGACTATAAATTCATTCCAGACCTCGTGTTGGACATTTGACACTTATTTTATGAGTTTGGAAACTACGACATGATGTTGATATGGCACTTATGTAAATAATAACATGATATTCATGTTAGCTATGGTATGGCACTGTATACTGTTCTGAGATTTGCTGTATTTCTTTTATTATTGTTTCTGTACTAGAACCTCGGGTTTGGTGTTTAGAGATATACAATTTGAGATACCAGGTATATACATGAGGGTTTCCTTGTTTGGATTATTTCGCTCGACGTACCTATGCTCGTGTTGTAAATTTCTAAATACTAAAACCCTCTTTAGTAGGATCAATGATTTTAGATCTATTATATACTATCTGTATTTTCTTATACAACGAGCCCTGTTCCCTTGGGGTTGGTTGTGATGTTACTCGCTAGCGCTTTGACGCTCGTTGTCCCTCCCCCTTTCAGGTCACGAGCCAGGAGCACGGAGAGCCGCAGGTTGATAGCGGACCACTTTAGTGTTCAGCTTTATTTTCTAGTTATGTATTATTTTCTTTGGGCTCCACTGTAGTGAGGTTAGACATTTGGGGGTATTATTCTAGAAGTTGTGAAGGCTGTGTGCCTTATTTCCTTTTGTCAGACATTTGTATTTGAGACTCGTTCAGTATTCCAGATTTTCTACTCAGATCTTGACTATGTATTTCTGTGTTGTTGGATGATGAGATATTTATGTGACTATTATCATTTCGTCAGTATTCCCTGTATTATCTTTTACCTGTTTTGTACCTACACCAGTTGTTGACCCTACTAGATAGATGTTAATTGTGATGGTGAAACATGTTATTGCACGGTGTGGTGCATAGCAGGTTTGACATTCTTGGTTTCACCTCGGACTGCAGCCTTGTGTGAACCCAGGGGCGTCACAGTTGGTTGGTTTCACCTCGGACTGCAGCCTTGTGTGAACCCAGGGGCGTCACACTCATGTTTATAAGCCTACTATCTAATCTAGTTTTGATGATTAAGAAATAATTCCTAACAATGTTTGTCGAGCGTTTATATTTGCTTGTTAGGTATTCTACACAAAGATCCTCCGTTAGAGGTTGGATGGATTGCGCCTAAACGATGACATCCAGGATAGCCTGAGCCTCCTCGGCCGCCTTAAGCTCTTGTTTAAGTTAAGCTATCTTTGCACTGCCCAACTCAAGAGAAGAGTGTAAATCCCAGTGGATTTCTAGCTTGCTAGCAAAGACTGACTCCATTTGTTTTACATGATTCAGTTATGTTTGAAGCACAAGGTCAGTAGATGCTCACATGTCACACCATGCTTTCAACCGGGACTCCATCCGAGCAGTTACATATAAGGAGGCACTTGCAGCCCGAAGCTCCTACAACCTTTGAAACTCATGCTCTATCGTGACCAAGTCCGGGGCAATAGAATCTGCCAAGTCTGGATACCTTCGTCTCTGACTACCTTCACTTGACGATCAAGAGATCGCCTAAACGGGTCAAAGTAAAATCCTTGGCGAAGGATCTTGTCAATCATCACGCCCACGAAGAAAGCAAAATTATGGAGTTTCAAGAAAAATATAGCCCTATCTGGATCATTATCTGATATCAAGGCCATAATGGAACCGTACAGAGATGATGAAAGCTCTGTAGGAATAGAGAGAGAAATTAATATTCCAAAGAGCAAGATCAATGTTCATAATCTCAAGGAAAATCACGGGATAGAGCTTACTGATGCCAGTAGAGGATCCTTTAGCTTGGCGCTCTATGCTTGGTCTCGCTGACCCAACCTCACGAATAGCTGGAATTGTTGCAGATATAACAGTCGTGAATGTACCAGCTTCTTTGGTTAATCTCGTGACTAGAGCAATAAAAACTAGCCTCCTGCTAATCGCTGGGCCCAAGCTTTCTGGCTACGCCATTGGATCCACGGGAATTGGTGACTTCGAGGCTGAAGAGCGCGAAAGTGAGCTTCCATAATGCTCTCCTTCTACATCAAGCAACTAAAACCCTCGGCGCTGCCTCTGCAAACCGACAATTGTAGCGCTGTATCAGCTCCAGTGGCTGGTCCTACAATCAAAACCCCCCTGTGGTTAAAAAAGATCTAACAAATGAATAACATCAATGTCAAGATAAGATTCATACCTGCAGATGAACCAGCCTTAGCGGTTGGTCCTGTGGCTTCACGACGAGCTTGTTCCGATAACATATCAGCAAGTAATTCATGATCATCTTCGGTGAAACCCGTCACTTGATCAAGGAAATGCTCATCAAAATCCCTGATATTAATGTCATGAAGGGCCTCCTCCACGATGGGCTCTTCCATCACAACGTCTATAGAAAACTTGAGTGTTAAGTACAAAGAAGGAAAGTGGAATTCATGATAAGTGAGAATCATATTTACCTTCATCAGCTACAACAGGTTTCGCGGCCCCGACGCTCATGCTCGCTCCCTTCAATTTTTCTAAAAGAGAATGAAGCGCAGAAGTGATTAATGGGGGCACATATTCTGAATCGCTCAACTCTCTTAATTACCACCTGAATGAGGTATTATCTGTTTTAGATATACATGGACTTGAAATTCTTGCAGCGGTATCAGTGGGTGAGTTGAACCAAACCTCAGCATCCCCTCCAACTTTAGGGTTGCGAGCCTCTTCACTCATGGCCTCGTGCATCTAATGTGTGAAGCCTGACCTCTCGGAATGGGTAAAACTGAGAGAATGAGGATCGTATGGAAGCTCACCCTCTTCAAGACTCCCTACGGATCAACAATGAGATATATATATTCAGCAAATCCCTGGCCCGAAGTATGAAAAATGACAAAAGCGAAACAAGATTAGGTGTTACCTTCTCCTGGAATATCGCAGGTCAGCTCTTCTTTCGATTCAGGAAGAGGAGTGTGTGGTTGGTGCATGACTTTCTTCGTCCTCTTCGATGGACGGGCTTCTTCCAAAATGATAGGCTTTTCCTGTCAGAACTTCGTGCGTAATTCGGCCCTGGTAGTCGCCGCAAAGGACCGGGTTTGTTTTTGATGCACCACCCCAGTTTCGGCATCCTCTTCTCCCTCTTCTTCTGTATCCCCATATGGGAGAACAATCATCATCTTGTTGAGGGATGTGAACATGACCTTATGTTTTGGCCCCCTCAGAGCCGTTGGAGACTTGGGCAAGTCAGATTGGCGAGTCCGACGGGCAATAGGCGAACTCACAACTGTAGGCTATCTAAAAGTTATTGTAGATAGCTGATCCCCATAAAACACCAATAATAGAAGTTACAATTTGACGGCTTTTAGAAGACTACAATTTGAAAACTTTCACGTAGATCGATGAATGTTATAATCTGACAACCTTCACAACAACTGATGAAAGTTCTAATTCAACGGCGTTCACAATCAACATCAGGTGTTACAATCTAATGATTCTCATATTTTCAAATAGCTAAGATGAAAGTTACAAGATGACGATCTTTGCAACGGTCTAGCAAAAGAGGCTATAAATTGACGGTCTCTTTAAATCAAAACACAAATATCTCTGAAACCGTAAGGAATTTGGTGAAATGGATGGGAGTAAACTAAACTCTATGGGTTGATTTGGTCGGCTCCGTCTCATCGAGATAGTCAATTATATATAATTAGTCCAATTCCGACTTACGGTTTGAAAGTTATGACATATCCTTTGCAGCAAGTTATATTCTGAAGTTCGTCTGTAAGACTGGACTTCACCTGAACATTGGACTTCGCCTGAAGCTCACCAAGCTTGCCTGAGACTCGCCTCTGTGTTCCAGAGTCAAGATGCAGAGTTCATCTCTGCGTCCCAACAACAAAACATAGAGTTCATCGCTGTGTTCCAGGCTCAAAACACAGAGTTCGTGGCTACATTCTAGACTCAAAACACAGAGTTCGTGGCTGTGTTCCAGACTCAAAACGCAGAGTTCATTGTTGCATTCCAGACTTAAAAAGGCAGAGTTCATGGCTGCGTTTCAGACTCAAACTGCAAAGTTCGTGGCTGCGTTCCAAACTCAAAATATAGAGTTCGTGGCTGTATTCCAGACTCAAAACGCAGAGTTCATCTTTGCGTCCCAACAACAAAATGCAGAGTTAATGGTTGTGTTTTCAGTCTCAAATGCAGAGCCCAACTCTATGTCCCAGGTCCAGAATGCGGAATTCGTGCCCAGAATGCAATTCTTACGTTTGACTCGTTCAAACACGAGCTGGACAGTTTTAAAACCGTTTTCCACGATTTGAGGGGATCACTCCCCTACTTAGGAGTAAATTAAGGGGGCAGTTACACTCCTTAATCCCCTATAAATGGTGGAAAACTCAACTGAGTTCAGGATTTCCTATTGATCCTCTTTTCAGCAGCTAAAAAAAGGGAGATCTTCGAATTGGGGGGCTCTTTTTGGATCTGGGAGCACTTTCAGATCTGGGAGAAATCGGTATTCACCCTTAGAGATCTGGGATTAGACCTGTCCATCCGGGCCGGCCCGGATCGACTCGGCCCAGCCCGAAAATCCGGGCCCGGGCCGGGCAAAACCGGAGCCCGGACCCGGACCCGAGTACCCCGGGCCCGGGCTGGCCCGGTTTATTTTTTTTAATTTTTTTAATCAAATTTTTTAATTTTTATTTAAATTTTAAATTATACAAAAAAAGACAAAATTTTTTAATAAAAAACAATAATTTTATTAATCACTTAAAATGACATAAATTACAAATAAAAAATTATAAAAATAAATTCTTTATTAATAATTAATAAATCATTTACAAATTACAAGTATAAATTTATTTTAGAATTCATCGCATCACAATAGATAAGTACATCCCAACTAGGTTTTTTAAAATTTATTTTCTTTTTTTTGATAAAAAATGCTAAAAATTAGTTTAATATTATTATATTTTATATAATTATGTATTAGTATATACTTACAAATTATTATGGAACTATATATTATATATACATATATTATATGTAAATATATTATATATATTTATAAGTTATAACTTGAGAGAGAGAGAGAATCACATAAGTAGCTGTTGTCCGTTGGGCCAATGGGGGAAGAAGTATCCGTTGTAATCTACTATACTTATATATACTTATATACTAAGAGAGAGTACACACACACACACACACATATTATACATATATAAGAGAGAGTATACTTATATAAGAGAGAGTATACATATATAAGAGAGAGTATACTTATATATACATATATACTAAGAGAGAGTATATTAGTATATATATATACACACACATATATTATACATATATAAGAGAGTGTATACTTATATAAGAGAGAGTATACTTATATATACATATATACTAAGAGAGAGAGTATATTAGTATATATATATACACATATATATTATACATATATAAGAGAGTGTATACTTATAAAAGAGAGAGTTTACATATATAAGAGAGAGTATACTTATATATACATATATACTAAGAGAGAGAGAGAGAGAGAGTAAATATATACATACATACATACGTTATACATATATAAGAGAGAGTATTCTTATATATACTTATATAAGAGAAAGTATACTTATATATACTTATATAAGAGAGAGTATACTTATATATACTTATATACTAAGAGAAAGTATATATATACACACATATGACATATTATACATATATAGAAATATATTATATATACATATATTATACATATTAAGAGAGAGTATATATATACATACATACATTATACATATATAAGAGAGAGTATTCTTATATATACTTATATAAGAGAAAGTATACTTATATATACTTATACATATATATACTTATATAAGAGAGAGTATACTTATATATACTTATACACTAACCGGGCGGGGCCCGGGCCGGCGGGCTTTTTGGACACCCCTATCTGGGATCATTCATCGACAATAGAGATTTTTGGAGCTTTCTTCCTTGGCTTGAAAATCGATTTTGGTTAGATCTTAATTAACTCTTTCATAGAGTTTTAAAGTCGCACTGAGTTCCTAAACTCGTTAAGAGTTGTTCTTAAACTTACCACACAAGTTCTCCTCAACCTCAAGTCAAGAGGATTCAACCGTGTTCCACGAGTTTAAGTATTTGGATCATCAACGGAAAGCAAACTCGACACGAACATCGATAGAGGCATTCCATCGACACCAAGAAGAACATAGGTTAAACAAAGGGAAAGGTCTCCGTCGATCCCTTCTCTCTTTTATAAATCGGGAATCCAATACAAAAAGATTATAATTTCTTTTCTCTAAGTCTGTTAGAGAGAGATTGCATTGAGAGAATTAAAATTCATTCTTTTTCTAAGTCTGTTAGAGAGAATAATACAAATTCAATTCTCTAATTTTCTTCTTTCAATTTTCCCACCAAATAGCAACCCCATTGGAAAAGAAAGATGGTGGAAGACCCGCCGCGACCTCCTCCTCCTCATCACCAGCCCATGTGCCTTCACCTCCGGTTGCACCTTCTTCTGAAGCCTCATTTTCTTCACTTGGGAGGATCTTCTCTTCCTCCTCTATCACCTACTTGCCTTTGCCGAAAGGCCCGACAGGCTCTTTCCCCCCATCTCCTTGAGAGTGGGGCCTCATAAATGATCCTGGCTACAACCCGAGCTTCTTCTTCAGCCTCCAGTTCTAAATTTTGCTTTAGTTTGGTGGGCGCATTAGCAGCAATCAACCATTTGCAACAGAGAAGTGTAAGTTAAAATGGGTGCTCTGTAGCTGGTAGATTAAAGATAGCACCCGTGCAACACGCCACGCTCTAAAGCCATGTCCATGCACCATCTACGAGTCTACCTTGAGTCCTTAGTTGTCGGTTTGGGTTTCCGACGTACAGTTGGTCGTAACCGAATTGACGAGTGAACCGACAAGGAAGATTGGGCTCTATATGACAATGGTTCCTTACTCGAAAGACAAGGTAGTTGAGCCTGATGTTCATCAACCACTTGAAGTAGCCTACGTCGAGAGCAGTTCGACTCATTCCCATCCTTTCCTCATTGATCAACAATTCGTCGTATTGGCTGGAGAATTGCGGGAAGCACTTGAAGAACTCCCAGCACTTGTGAATTTGGAGTTGTCACTTCACCTCGAGGAATTATTGTGCTTCCCATTTGCAATCTTCCAACAGCTGCAAGAGGGGAACAGAGGGATCCGCAACATTCGGAGTCGACATCAAGTCAGAGCGATGAAGGACGAGCCACACCATCAGATAAGTGTAAGGTAGCTTGACTTTGGCAGTGGGGATCTCGGTCGTCGGCTTGTTTCCCTCCTTCGTAAAGCCAATGACTAAGTGCCGGAGCCCGCAATATATATCAGCGACCATCGCCGGAAGTAAAGAGAGACTTTTCCCGTAGGCAAGTTGAAATTCTAGGAAGAGGACCTCTATTGGCAACGCGTCGGAGAACTGGTGTGGAACTACACACTTCTTCAACCAAATAGCGAGATAGCCTGCCAGGAGAGTCATAGGCTAAACTCGCTTATGTGCATGCCATGGGAAAGTCTAGAACTTAGTCCCCCTCAGGAATTTGCCCTCAGTAGCATGAGTGGTATAGGATTGAGTGCTAATCTTCTCATTCAGTTTGTTGATTTCTGAGGGAGTTAGAGGCGCCAACTCACAAACCACCTCGCCAGATCGTTCCTCCAGGTGCTTGAAAAAATAATCTGCAAATTACTTTAAGCTAAGATGTGGGAACTTCTTCTTGGCCTTGATATAGACACTAGCTAAGGCCATCTAGTAATAACACGTGAGCTCCCACAATGTGTCATATCTGGTGGGGTTGGTCAGTTTCAGTTGGCTCAACTGTTGGTTGATGGAAAAATATTCCTAGTATGGAACGTCGCCTATCGGCAGCCCCGAGACCTTTTGCATCTCATGTAGAGGTAACCCCAACTCCCCGTTCTTGGTCAAGAAAGTATTGGTGTCCGGGTTGTAAAGTTCCAACAGTGCAAAGAAGTGATGAACACTGATGGGTAACGCGTACATACTGGCATGGATGGGTGTGTACAATCCATTATCAATCAACTCTGCACCCCAACGCCTAAGAACATAACTCGTCATGCGGGTCCACCACTTGTCTGTCAATGAGTGCACCTAGCCGTAACACCTGTAGCCCTTAACAGACAACTCTCTTCCTAATCTTGCGAGACGATTGCTTACTATGTTGGTAATCATCGGTAGCTCATTCTGCGGTGCCTGGCCCTAGCACACCGGGATGAAGCTC